GCAGCCATGTCAGTGGCGTAGGCGTCGGTGGTAGCCATGTTGTGTCCAGTAATAGACCAGCTTCTGTTACAGGCCAAAATGCGAATATTTCTCTTCCAGTTAACAACCCGAGCGGTGTCAAACTTCCCGTGATCGAAATTAAGATTTTTGATGGAGAATTTAGCCAATGGCTTGAGTTTAGGGATACGTACGATTCTTTAATTCATACAAACTCAAGTCTTTCGGGAATTCAGAAGTTTCACTACCTGCGTTCATATTTAGGCCCGACTGTCCTTGAAACTATCGCTAGTTTGGAGATTTGTGATTCCAATTATGACAATGCGTGGGCCTTAATTTGTGATCGCTTCAACAATAGTAGAATTTTGATACAAAATCATATTAAGGCCATTTTTCTTATCGATAAAATTTCTACTGAATCATCAGGTGCTTTGCGAAAAATGGTCGACAGTGTTGCCAAGCATCTCAGGGCTCTAAAGACTTTAAACGAGCCAACAGAAGCGTGGGATACTCTAATAATTTACTTGATTACAACAAAATTAGATGACGTCACTCTCAGAAAATGGGAACAACTAAAGGCTTCTTATAAAACACCCACTTTACATAATTTAAATGTATTTCTCAAAGAAAGAGCGGATCTTTTGGAGTCTTTAGATCACAGTAAATCGCAGAGCAATAGTTCACAACCTTACAAACAAAAAAGGGTTAGGACATTGTTAGCTGAACACCATGGTTCTGCGCGGGGTTCCTCTAACCCTAACCCATCAAAACCGAAATGCACCTTTTGCGGGAAAGAGCATTACATTTCAACTTGTGCGGATTTTTTGAAATTAAACTTGAATGAACGAATTGAACAATTGAAACGGAAACGCCTGTGTTTAAATTGTTTAAGGGCTGGTCATTCGTATCGACAATGTTTTTCTGGTACCTGCAAAAGGTGTAATTCAAAGCATCATACTCTTTTGCATTTCGATGACAAAAACCCTTCTGATACCCCTAATGATAGAGAGCTTCGACAAGAAAGAGTCAGCTTGTCCTCTAGAAACGAGATTATAGGCCAACAAGTTCTTTTGTCAACAGTTCTAATTACAGTTTTTGATTCTAAAAACAAACCGCGTACAGCTCGGGCTTTATTGGATGCTGGCTCGCAGGCCAGTTTTCTGACCGAACATTTTTCATCAAAACTAAATTTAAGCAAGTTATCTATAGATATTAGGGTGATTGGTATCAACGAAACGCAGTCGGAATGCAAAGGCAAATGCGTCGTGCGAGTCAAATCAAGAGTAAATCAATTTTCCACTAATATTTCATGTTTAATAGTACCACAGATAACAGGGAAGTTACCGAATTTCCAGGTCGATACACACAGTCTTAAAATTCCGGAAAACATAAAGCTAGCGGACCCTTATTTTGACTCCCCGGCTGATATTGATATGCTGATAGGCGCCGATTTGTTTTGGGATATTATCAGCGTCGGGCAAATAAAGCTGGCTACAGACGGTCCGTATTTACAAAAAACTAAGTTCGGTTGGGTCGTTTCAGGGGCAATCCAGTCAACTTCAACTCATGTAGTTCATTGTAATTTTGGTAGCGCCGTCAACATCGATAGGCAGCTTAGTCGATTCTGGGAGATTGAGGAATTTTCCGGGGTCAAGCCTATGTCCCTAGAGGAAAAGGCTTGCGAGAAACATTTCATAGAAACATTCACACGAGATTCATACGGACGGTTTGTGGTCACTATTCCGATGCTGGAGGATCCCGAAAAACTGGGCGATTCCTATGAGACCGCGAAAAAACGATTTTTTGCCCTAGAACGTAAATTTGAGCGCAACGCTAATTTCAAGCATCAATATTTCAATTTTATCGACGAATATCGAGTTCTAGGACATATGTCGAAAGTTGAGATTGACAATCATTCAAAACATGCCTATTATATGCCTCACCATGGCGTCATCAAGGAAAGTAGCTTGACGACAAAACTTCGCGTAGTTTTTGACGCGTCGTGCTCCACCTCCAGTGGTCTCTCCTTCAACGATCTGCAAATGGCCGGACCTACTATCCAGTCTGATATTGTCTCAATTCTTTTACGTTTTCGAAAGCATACTTTCGTAATAACCGCTGATGTGGAAAAAATGTACAGGATGTGTAGGGTACAGTGACTAAATAACCTACAGTGGCGACAATTGCTGTCCTATTTTTGATTGGTTTCCCAGGCTGCCGCCATTTTGTTCCCGAGTTGATTTGTTTACGTTTTTCGTTTGCCCGTGTTTCCTATGTATTTTTTTATTTTCGTGTTGAATTTTAAGGATTTTTGTGTAATATATGGTTGAAAAAAACTAAAATAATTGGATTGGATAATTTATTATACATTCCATAATTATTTATTGTAAATTTTTTAAATTTATAATATAGTGAGTATTGTGCCCCTTGCCTGATACAGACTTCTATTTATACTGGTAAATATTACATTTATGTCCTATTTAATAATTTATGCATGAAAAATTAAACCATGTGTGCTGTGTGCTTCTGCCTAAGAATTTTCTACAAAGTCAATTCACAGATTATTTTCAAATTTTGAAGGATTATTTGTATTATTCAGAATAGATGATGAAAATTAGGTAATAAACTACTATTACTGTGACAACAATGCCTCAATTATCATAAATTTATCGTTTTCTGATTTTTTTTAAGGTTTTCTAGCGTGTACCCTGTTCATTTTTGAAATGACTCTTTGTGCTGCAATAAATTGCACAAATTCTGGAGAGCAGGGATTTTTAATGAAACGCTTTCCTAGAGATCCACTCAGAAGACAAACTTGGCTTATTAATATGAATAGAAGCTATTGGAAACCAACTGACTATTCCTGTTTATGTGAAGTAAAACTAACTAGAACTTTTTAAACATTTTTTTTGTTGTTGAATTTTTCACTTGTGTTCAACTGTCTTGAGGGCACACCATGTCTTGTTTTTAGATACTAAAACTGATTTTTATTTAAGGTTCATTTTGCTCCTGAAATGTGGGAAAAGCCTCATGTAGATGGCAAAAGAAAGTTAAAGTCCAGTGCTATTCCTACAATTTTTTCTTTTGTAAAAGGGGAAACTATCAGGAAATCTCCAGTTCAAGGAAAGCTTCTTTCTCCAGAAGAGCCTGAACTTTCATCTGGCAATAACATTGCATGCGTAGTCGGTAACTACCTACCTACAATAAGTTTTTGATAATTTTCTTCTAAATATTTATTTATAAAAAATAAGGATTTTAGTCGGTTTTTTACAGATGAAGCCTTAGTTCCATTACCTTATGTAGAAGGCCTATCTACATCAAGTGCAGATTTGGGAGGTAATTTACCAGCAACACAGAACTCATCCTCATTTTTATCGAACGAAAAGAATAGGGCTCCAGTTCCATCATGATTGCTACCATAAGTTTTTAATACTTAGTTTTCTTCTTAATATTTATTTATTGAAAATAGGGTTTTTTACTTGTTTTTTTACAGATGAAGCTTTAGGTCTATCACCTCCTATAGAAGGCCCTCGAGAAGGCCTATCTACATCAAGTGCAGATTTGGAAGGTAACTTACCAGCAACTCAGAAGTCATCCCCATTTTTTTCGAGTAGAGAAAATAGGACTCCAAATTCACCATTAGGTATTACTCTAATAAGTTTTTGATAATTTTCTTCTTAATATTTCTTTATTAAAAATGTTTTTTACTCAGTTTTTTACAAATGAAGCTTTAGTTATATTACCTTTTGTAGAAGGTCTATCTACATCAAGTGTAGATTTGGAAGGTAATTTACCAGCAACTCAGAAGTCATCCTCAATTTTTTCAAATGAAGAAAATAGGGATCCAGTTTCATCATTATTGCTGGAAATAACCAAGGGCAAAGACATAATAACCGAACTGCAAGCAAAATTAAACAGATACGAGACATTGTATGTTAGGGAGAGAAACAAGGCCGTAAGATACAAAAAGCTTCTAAGGCAAGCAAGAAATAAATTGAAGGTAGTACAAAAAACAGCAGATTTTCCACAATGTGATGAATTGTTTAAGCGGTTATTCAACAATGATCAGATAACAGCCTTGAAAAAGAAAAAAAGGAAAAAAACTACAAAACTGATGAAGTGGACTAATGACACTGTGACAAAGTCTTTGAAACTAAAATTTAGTTGTGGTATATAACTCTATAATTAGAGGAAGGATGATGCACAGCTTGATGAGGTTTTCAAGCAGAATATGTTTACATTGTGTCCATGGATAAACTTTAGATACTTACTGGGAAAAAAAGTATTTTCAATTTTTTGAAAAAAAGTAGTTCTTCATAATTTCTTTTGCTTGTTATATAAATGTATTCATGTTTTTTTATACAGTGAGCACAAAATATAAAAATATGTAAGTTCAAAATAAAAGAACTTCGGATGAGGGATAGAGAGGTTCATATAAAATAAATTTTACTGTATCACATTCCCATGTCTCAAGTTAGTTAAATAAATTAAGTAAGTATTTATTGTATGTATTGATTTTTTAACAGAGTTCAATTTTTCACCTATTATCGACACTTGAAATTTAGGATTGCCTCCAGCATCAACACAGTAAGACCTTTTCATGGACATACGGTTTTTTAAAGTTGTTTTTAATTTAAATATTGAGTAATTTTGGAAAAACCATCTTTTAATTTTGATTTCTGAGACAGAAGCACTTGGATTGGTTAAGTTTTTCAAGATTCTTGCAGATATTTTTGGATTTCTTCTCATAAACCCCTCGTACCAAACCAATGCCTTCGAGGTCTTCCGGCTTTAAAATGATGGGCTTTTTTCAACCACTTCACAAGCATTTCCACACTGTCTAGTTGATCCTTAATGACTGGAAATCCACAACCAGCCAGGGATAATATCCATTCAATCAATGCATTTTCATCTTGTTTACTGAGGACTGTTAATATTCCTATTTGCCTAGGAAAACTTTACGAGACCGAAATGCGGACATTTTTCCCGATTGCACTGCTTACTGCCTGATTCATCGCCTCTTCGAAGTATTGTGAGTGAGCTTTTGAAGCTGAAAGAATTATTTTAATTAATCCTATCATCGACATTAAAATGTACATAATCAAAATAAGAATTTTAATAACCACACTTTTTAAATGGTTTGTAAAATATGGTGTCGATAACTGTATTTACGAAAATTTTATCTAGGGGCGTTTACCTTACGCCGTTTTCAATTTTTTATGCTGGCTGTTCATTTAAATTATTAAAAATCCTATAAATAATATTTAAAAGTAACAAGAGGTTGGGAACAAGATGGCGGCGGGACCTCTATTGTCGCCACTGTATGTTATTTAGCCACTGTAGTGTAGGGTAAATCCGGAGCAAACGCATTTGCAGCGAATTTTATGGCGCGAAGACAGCTCTAAGCCTATCGATATTTACGAATTGCAAACTGTAACATACGGTACGAAATCAGCTTCTTACTTAGCTATCCGATGTCTCCATCAAATTAGTTTAGAAGCAAAAATTGATTTTCCGGACGTTTCGCGTGTCATTTCAGAAGATTTTTACGTTGATGATATGCTAACTGGTGCTGACAATATAAAAGACGCTATTACCATAGCAAATGACGTTTCCTCTATACTTAAGAAATCAGGTTTCCATTTACGAAAATGGATGTCTAATAATTCAGAGATTCTGCAGCATATCAGCTTAACCGACCAAACCGATTTGGTTGATTTAGGCGCGAATGAAAACACAAAGACTTTGGGCTTGCTTTGGAGCGGTCAAAGTGATATGCTGTCTTACAAAATCGCTATCAGTTCAACACGAGTTACAAAAACGAGCTGTGTTATCCGATATAGCACAAGTTTTCGATCCACTGGGTCTACTCAGCGCTACTATTATATTAGCTAAAATAATTTTATTTTCAACCACATATGTAATGTTGACATTGCAGGTTTTTCAAAATCTTGAAAGTGTCACATTTCTGGACTTTGACATTTATCGGGACGGTAATGCATATGCCTGCCTAGGACGGAAAAGCATTTTCCGTCCGGGACGGCAAATGCTTTTCCGTCCCCATTTCCCTGCTCGTTCCAAATTGATAATTTTCATACAGCTCTCACATATAATAATAAAACCACATGTATTACATGGAACTAATTAAATCTATTCACTTATTTACATTAATTGTTAAATTAGCATTGTTGTTTATAATGGAAATCTTGAGACCATCCTGTTGGAATTGTGTTTCGTTTGGAACTATTATCTCTTGCGCTTGCGGATGAGTTTCCGCATGTGATGTACTTGTGGATGCACTGGACAACTGAATACCTTTGGAAGTAGAGGATAGCATCAGAGCAGTCTTACTTTTGTTCTCCAAAGATGCCTCTATGTAGCCTTCAGCAACCGTGCTCGATTTCCACCCTCCCAGTCTTTTGAGTTGCAATAGATCGGCCCCGTTGTCAACCAATAAGGTTGCGGAAGTACGACGAAAAGCATGCCCTGTAAAAGTTTCAATTTTTGGAAGCTTCAAAAAAGCAGCTATTTTATGTGGAAATTTTGAGATTGAATGATAGCCAATTGCTTGGTTATGTAATTTCCCATTTCGCCATTGAACAAATAACCTGTCATTTTTCAAATTTTTCCGCAAAGTGAGGTATTTGTGGAAAATAGCAACCCAATCTGGATCGCTTATGATAAACGATCGACTTGTGTAAGTTTTTGTGTGTGGAATTTCTATAGCGATCTTTCCTTCCAAAACGTTGACGTGCTCCATTTTCATCTTGACTAGTTCATCGCTCCTACATGCACCCGACACACCAACAATTAGCGCTACCTGAAACCAGATAAAAATAAAATGGGTAACCTAGCTATAGCATACAGAAAATCATTTTGATTTTCGCATTTTTATCTTCTTTGTATATTTTTTGAAAACCTACCTTGATGCTAATGAATTCTTCAGCTGCCTTCGTGAGGAACTCGTTAATGTTTTCTCTGGAAAAAACGCTCGACTTTTTCGGCTGAAAGCCCAGATTTTGCCGCTTCAAAAAAGCTATAAGTTTTGCGTAATTGGAGATATCAACTTTCTCTTTCAATTTAATCATGGTTTTCAACATACTGTAAGTCGACCATAAAGTCGAAGGCTTCTTTTCCTTAGATAATTCGCCAAAATACGCCAACAAAACGGTCTCCGAGGCAGTATTTCTCGTTCCTTTCTGGCTACACCATGCTTCGAATATTTGAAAAGCCTTTTCGTACCGAAATTTGCTTTTTGCTGGAAGCAAACTCTCTCCAATCCTGTCTGCTGCTTCTTTTAATTCAGGTGGGGTACAATCCATCGCTTCATCTTCACTTTCCGAAATCATTTCTTTGGGGAGAACGGGGAGAAATCTAGTGAAAATCTATTATTTCCGCAAAAATACTGAGCGAAAACTACCGTCGTTAAGGCGTTGTTGATCTTATCTATGGTTGTTGATTTTGCGGTTTCCTGTGGTTTCGTCTTTTGTTTTGGCCTTTACAGGGCCTTTGAGATCGTCAAAATTGATGACATTGACAAAAAAAGTGAAATATTTTTTTCTAAGGCCAGTTTTACACTATATGAAAATTTCGTATAACAGAATCTTTAGTTTTTGCATCAGAAAATTAAGGGTTGAAAATAAAAAAGTATACAAACCTCGACGGAAAACTTCATTTCTGTCTCGAGGTTGAGTTTATCTCGACGCTTCGCGTCTCGATAAACTATAATAACCTCTCGACCAGCAATGAAGTATTTTCCGTCTCGGATTGTAATATACTATTACGTGACATATGGATAGAAAAATTGGGATGGGATAGCTCTTTACCGCAGTCATTACACACCAGATGGTTGCAATTTCGCGACGATCTCACCGTTTTAAATGAACTTAATATCGATAGACAAGTCATTTGTAGGGACGCGATTCAAGTCGAGTTACACGGGTTTTCTGATGCGTCGGTACACGCATATGGCGCCTGCGTGTACGCGAAGTCAAAAAATAACTACGGAGAAACCATGGTTCGACTTATCTGTGCCAAATCAAAGGTTTCGCCACTAAAGATCCAAACCATTCCTCGGCTAGAACTCACAGCTTCCTTGCTTCTTGCACGACTGCTGGACAAGGTCAGAATTTCGTTAAATATCCATATTAGTCGGGCAGTCTATTGGTGCGATTCTACCATTGTTTTAGGATGGTTGAATATTTCTCCAAGTGCGCTTCAAGTTTTCGTAGGCAATCGAGTTGCGGCCATACAAGAACTTACAGATCTGAGTGAATGGAGGCACGTTCCCACTCTTGACAACCCCGCAGATCATGTATCACGCGGCGTGAAACCAAGTAATTTGCCAGGTTTAGATATATATTGGTTCGGCCCTCAGTGGCTGAAGTTAGACGAAACCTTTTGGCCTCAACCTCGATCGTCCGAAAACAACGCTTTGGATAAAGATGAATTACCAGAATTGCGAAAACCAACTATTCAGGCTCAGGTTACAACATCTGTCGAACCCATCATCAGAATAGGCGATTATTCAAATTTAAGTAGACTAGAGCGCGTCATTGCTCATTGTTTTAGATTTAAGGAGTATTGTTTGAAGGCTATAAATTTGCTCCCTCAGGATCCTCGTCAAGGTCCTTTAACGTTTTCAGAAACCAACAATGCTCTTTTATATCTCATCAAGTTGACCCAAGCTAGTTGTTTCGAGATTGAAATTGATGCCTTAAGCAAACATAATTTTGTAAAAAAATCAAGTAAGCTGGCCAACCTCAACCCTTTCCTAGATAAAAACGGCATAATTAGAGTAGGAGGCAGGCTAGCCTATTCAAATTTTGATTTCACTAAAAGGCATCCTATTGTTTTGCCGTACAATCACCATCTTACCAAACTAGTCTTTGAACGTGAACACAAACTATTACTTCATGCCGGCCCTCAACTGCTTCTGGCAAACATACGCAATAAATTTTGGCCGTTAGGCGGACGTAACTTAGCTCGTAAGGTTTTTCGGAATTGCGTTGATTGTTTCAGGGCAAATCCTAAGCCGATCAATCCCATCATGGGAAATTTACCAAGCAAGCGTGTGAATCCTGCGCCGGCCTTTTCCACGACTGGTGTTGACTATGCCGGGCCATTCCTAGTACGAGATAGACAAGGACGCGGTCATAAAGTAACTAAGGCATATATTTGCTTGTTTGTTTGTTTCACAACTCGCGCGATCCATCTTGAGTTGGTTTCAGAGCTCACTACGGAAGCTTTTTTGGCAGCACTAAAACGATTTGTGTCGCGTCGCGGAAGGCCTGCTCAAATATACTCAGACAATGGAAGTAATTTTTTAGGTGCAAATCAGGAATTGAAACAGCTGGGTGGCTTTTTGCGACATAACGCCAAAAACTTGACCGAATCTATAGAGAGTGAAGATATCTCCTGGGTTTTTATTCCGCCCCATTCACCACATTTTGGCGGGCTGTGGGAAGCTGGCGTTAAGGCCACTAAATCTCACCTTAAACGTGTTGCAAGTAATGCATCATTAACATTTGAAAAATTTTACACCTTGTTGGTTCAAATTGAGGCAGTGTTAAACTCGCGTCCTCTGTCTCCAATGTCAAATGATCCATCAGATTATACACCCTTGACTCCTTCCCACTTCTTAATTGGACGACCGATGACTGCTGTAGCAGATCCTGATTTCCGTGAGATTCCCGACAATAGGCTGTCACATTTCCAACACATCCAGAAGCTTCAGCAGCATTTCTGGACCAGATGGTCCGTTGAATACATTTCTGAACTCCAGCTGCGCAACAAGTGGCGTGATAATCAAGCCAAACTGCAAATTGACGATTTGGTGATGATAAAAGAAGACAATTTACCTCCCTGCAAATGGGCATTGGGGAGGATAGAAATTTTACATCCAGGGAAGGACGGAGTCTCCAGGGTAGCCACGATACGTACGAAGAAGGGTACAATTAAACGCTCCTTCGCGAAAATATGTCCGTTACCCATTAACTAATCTGTGCTTTCTGGGGTTGTGTTGAAAGTGCGGTCTTTCAAGGTGGGGGG